TAGATAGAAATGAATCTTCGGAGTAACAAAAGCATTGCGTAGAAGAAATCGGGTCTCGGAAGGTATTTTTAGTAGCGACAAAAAGTGCTGTAGGTACAACGTAAAATAAGAAAAAATCCATTTGTTGCTGGTGTTGTTATAAATTAACCAGCCAATAATAGCAAAGATGGCAATAAAGTAAGACAATGCAGTTCTGTAATTTCGAATTTGTTATAGTTTCCCTTATGAATTACATAACATTCAGTAAAAGTTTTACTATTTACTTTTTAATTGTTATACAGATGTACTAGTTACTCGCTAATTAGTTAGGTATCCTACAATATGAGATTATGAGCTATGTACTTAACGATTATACATTGCAACTATAGGTACATCCGTCACTGCCTGTAGGGTGATAAGGTTAATGGCTATGTGTCTATGATCTCAGTTTAATTCATTGCGCTTGAATGAAACTGTGTACTATGTCTAATTGAGGAAACGCAGAACAGCTTTGAAGATTAACAATCCATCAAGCTATCAACGTAAAGTTAAATCTGTTTTTATACCGTTTTAATTACCAGTACAACTCGTTCATCGTTCATTAACAATTACAAAATTAGTAAAACAAACAAGATGCCTTTTACCCAAAATTGTGCTGAGAACTGAACTTTAACAATGGGTAGAGTAAACGGTAATTTGTATTTTAACAACACAAAAATATGAAGATAGATCAGTGTGTGAAAGTGGCGCATAAGGGCGCGTTACATAATGCATAAACGTAACATGATGGAATGCGAAATTTTAATTAAACTACAGTTAAATTCGAAACAAAGATAATAAATATACGTTTCCTGCAAATTTTACATCACACTGCTATTTCAACTTTACATAATTGGTGCACATTGATGCAACGAAATCCTGTTCATTATTCAGACACTAGTGGTTACTACAAATCTTTTTTACGTTACAATACCATAATTAAGCGTGGGGTTATTGAAGATAACTAAATTGTATCTCGCTCAGATACGTACCTTTTATTGCAAAACAACCGCCTTCTGTTTTAGGTAGGTAGGTACGTTCTTATTTGCATACGTATACCGTACGAAAGCTTCTAGGTATTGGGTGATGAAATACGCACGTTACAACCTTGTTCTATACTTTAAATATATTTTCGGAGCTGCATGAAATTATGTAGCTTTGAATGAGTGCAATTTACATTCAATAATCGCTTTGACTGATTTCAACACAGTGCGTTGATTACTATGTTTATACAAGTACCCAAAGTTATATTTCAACGTTCAGTGCCTTTGTGAATCAATGTACTAGCGGGCCCTACTCGCAGGAGTTTGGAAATGTTAGTGTTAATGCTCGGAATTAAGATATTGACTTTTTGAGAATTTGATCATTAGATCATTCCAGAACACAAACTGCTTGCAACATTCTCGTGAATTATTTTCCATTCAGAAGTACATCGTTTCCACGACGAATTCATGCCATTCCCTGAACTCTAACCGTTGAAATCACGACTGTAACCATGTCCAAATTTGACTTCGACCGGCGCGAAATTTGATCACGCCTGAATTTTTCCACCAGCTAATTAACTACTTCGACTAGATTTAGGTGTGTTTGACACTCCCCCCACCTTAACTTTTGGAACTAAGCGAAGTTTTCACAATAGAATTCATTTGTTTTACCAATCATATCCCCAGGAGAACAGTTTGCCAGACACATCGAACTTGCGTAAGGGAAAATTCTGGCAGAATTGGGGAAAACCCACGTCAGATCTGATTCAGGTGGACTGTCATGCCATTTGTTTCGTCTTGGTCCAATAATCTGACGCTTCTAAAGGTACGGTTTCGCTGGTTTCTTGTTACGAGTTTTCTGACACTTTTTTACACACTACTTGCACCACCTCTACAGCTAAACCCGACGTCCTGAATCGCCCGCAACCACATCTCCGACCCTCCGTCTTTTGTTTCCAGGTAAGTGTGAGGTCGGATGTGGTGAGATACACTCACTTCTTTTTCGTTGACTTAGCCATTAATTGTCTGTCTAGTAAGACCGAACCAGGGACCGAACGGATAAGTGGCAGTACTCAGACCACAGAAAACCAAACTGGTATTATGGGTTGAAGTGGCATGCGATTTACAGAACCAAAATTTGAAGGCTCAACTTTGACCCCACTGACAGATATAGTGAATTGGTCTGTGCTGCGCTCATTGGACCAATATACGTCTAGTACGCCAAAGACAGTTAATTTGCAACTTGTTACATAAATAGCTATTAAGTCCCTGGTTATTGTAATTGCTGAGATCTCAGCAATTACAATACTAGCTAGAGACTTCAAATTTTCACTAAAAGCTTTCTGCGCTTTCATCACGCATATGCTGATCGATTAAAGTTTTTATCAAAAACTAAAACAATTTTCTGCGCTGTCTTTACCAAAAGTTAAAAAAGTATTCACATTTCCAGCAGATAGACGTAGGAAAAAAAACGGTTATTTTAATTAATCTTTCCCAAATTCAATTCTAAACAAGACACCATAACATACTGCTATTCACGGTCGATTACGAAATATAATTACTAAGACTTAATTGTTAAGGGGGACACGCGAAGATCAAACAAAATTGCTGCCGGTACTAGGTATCTAGAAAAATTTAGTTTCGCTTTACCATTAATTACGGTACCTAAACAAAATTTTCCAGATGTCAGAATAATATTCTCCAGCATAACTCACGACAATTAAATTATAGCAAATGTCATTGAATACGATTTAGTCCTGCGATTTTGTAACATTTTCCACGTACAGGTTAAATCTTTCGTCAGACACACGCGTGGTGTATTTCAAGTATGAGAAAATCACGATTTCGTTAACTAAGACATCGGAATGCGGTAAGAAAATTATTATTTATTAGTTATTACAAATGGGAAGTAATATTTAAATCATCGACAGGCGACGTTGAGTCTGTCTTGCTCGAAGTTGAACATTTAAGAAATGCTAAATAGTTGCCTCGGTAGGTAGTTGCATAAATTAATTGCTGGAAATGTTTCAAATTTAAAGCTCTATTTTGCCACAAGCGCTTTCTTGATACAGGAAATTGACTGCTAAAGTGTCGTGAGAGCACTGAAAGCACTTATAACACGTGTGCAAAAGGAAAGAGTATATAACACGATTTATTGTTTCTATTCTTTCAGTGGTAAACAAACACACGGCTTTCTAAACCATATTATCTATAACGGTCTTTATGTCAGATTTAGCATGATCACTTGGATGTTGTTACGGCTGCTCTCATAATAGCACTATATCTATAATACTCGTCAGGCAAGAATGCCGGTTATAGAACACCTGATCCCGGTCTACAATCATATGTTCTTCATTCTAGACCGATATTAATCCTTTTGTGACCAGCATTCTCCCCTTGCGAGCCTTATGTGTTAATAATTGATAATTACTTGGTTACACGTGATAATTTTGATTAATAATTGACGAAAACGTTTAGATGAATCAAAATGAGAATAAAATCTATTTGGATCGCCGTAGATTAAATTTTGAATGCCATACGTTCGATATGAACGCTATTAATGAAAAAAGTGAAACTAAAACCACACGGCTACGCCTCGTGGAAAGTAGATTCGGATGACCTCTAGCGGCAAAAAAAGAATTATGAAATAAAAACTCTATCAACAAAGCTAACTGCAGCAAGATTATAGGAGAAATGCGCAGATGGCATAAAGGGTAGTAAAAGGAATATTAAAAGAATTTAAAAACGTTACAAATTTTCGAATTATCTCTTTCGATTTGGAATATCCTTCAAATCCATAAGATTCATGTTTTCTAAGACGATTCGAATTCGTATGATATTCAGAAATCTTAGGGTATAAATTTAAAATGATCCTAGAAATTGACGAAAGTAAAACAAAATCACCAATAACCCACAATAATATAGTGTACTAGTGCTTCTTCATCCTAAAAAACTCTTCGAATTCTTCTTCTGCATCATACGATTCGCATTTTGAATATTTTGGATTTTTATGATTTTTTGGATCATTTTGTTTATATAAATTCCTCCCCTTCTAAAGATTCGAATTCTTTAGTTTTTCATAATCCACTCTCAGGTTCTTATGAATTGGGATTGTTTGTTCGAGTTCTTGCAATTTTTATTTTCCACGGACTATTAGATTCCTCGTATGCTTCATACCCTTCAAGTTAAAGTTCTTCATATTTAAATCCTCCAAACTGCAACACTTGAAATTCTGCAAATCTTAGTCTGAAGTCTCCGGAATATTCCCCTAGAAAATTCCCTTTAGAATATTTCACCCCAAGAGGTTGATAATTTTAATTACCACCTCCTTTAATATGTAAAACATAATTTCGAGGTTATTTGTAGTTGTTGTTTGTCAATTTAGACGCCGCCGGTTTTTATATTATTAATTTATAAGTATTTTTGTTAAGTTAGATTAAGTTCCATTTATTTTTGTTTTGTTTCAGAACTGTTAGAATTTTTTCCTTTTCAATCTTTCACACGCTTCGTGCGGTTTTACAAATTTCATATGTTTACTTCGATTTATGACTTCCCTGTTGTTTTCGCTTGTCACCCTAATTTTTAAGTTATGTAATACGTGACTAGGCAAAGGAGCCGCTTGCATGCGGTCCTTTGCGCTAATATTGCAGCCCATATGGGTGCAATAAATGTTCTTAGTTTTAGGGTGTTAATTAGTTCACTTTTAAGTTCTCAAGTTAGTCACATTTCGCCTACAATCGAAGTAGGTCGACTCAAAGTGCTCAATTTGTATTAAAGGGTGTTGTAAATAATGTATATAAATTTGTGTTGTGAAATAAATAGTACCTGTATAAGGTTCTGTGTAAATGAAGGTTTACAACAAAAGGTTTAGCTCGCGAACCAGCTACCAGAGCTATCGGTTCCAAGTTCCTGTCGGAACTTATTCATTTATCCAAACTAGTTATTTATTAGTTTATGATTTAGTTATTAAGTTCTAATTATGATTTTTTCTTTATTTCAGATACAAGTGATATTTATGGAAGTTGAAATGAACCTGTCGATATTTAACACGATAATAGGTGAGTGTAGCACCAGAAAGTAAATTTTCCTATATTTCAGAACATATATTTGGACATGTTCTCGGAAAGCTGAAATAATGTACGGCCTAGAGTTTTGTTTATTCTTCGGTGTGTCCGTGCGGGCTACCAGATGTCAGCACTGCAAACAAATTCCGTTGATGTCTCGTTTGATAGACATTGGCACCCGTTTAGGAGCAAGTGATCCTTTTTTGGAAATAGGATGTGTTTATTAGAAAATGTTCTAGTTTTTAGATGCTATACAGTCTCCAAGATAAGAATGAACAGTATGGGAAAATGGGAAACCCAGGGGGAAACTATAAAAGATACACAGCCTGATAAATTAAAAAAAAAGTTACGTACTTTAGGCCTTAGTAAAATGATGTTTTAATAATTCGGAAACTCCGATCAGTTCCGAAGATATTCGAAAAACACCGATGTTAGCCATATTCCTTTTAATTTTTAATTTTTGCTAATCCTGTTTGAAAATATATCAAAAAGCGAATAACACTTTCTCCAGAAGAACATTTTAATCTCTACAAGATGGTGCCTACATGTTTTCACTGTGACTTTTTGTCTTTAAGACCATCAACTTCATATTTTTCGAGATATTTTTATATGCGAAACTGCAAATTGTATTGAGCAGCAATTTTGATGAGTCCTTTGTCTCTCAAATTTACGTCATTAATTAATGGAGGGTCTCCACATCACTTATGCTATCATAGGTGAACTGAAGTTACGTATGAAAAATAGATTGCTCATGCGCAAATAAAACTTCTTTATTTGTGGACCACCTGCTGCAATAGTAATTTTGGCCAGAGACCGAAACTAGAAATGCATATGATGGGAGCTTTACACAGGTTAAAAAGCTCATCATTTGGGATAAAAATCCGTACAGAAGATAATTATCGAAAGTAGAGAAACCGTGACTAAGAAGACCATCTTGCAGATACGCAGGTCTAGTTTGCGTGCAATTATCTTCATAAGGTACCATATTCCATTCCAAATACCCGCAGCCTAATCTCGTATTCTCATCAAACATCTTAATTATTTAACAAATCTTCAACAATGACAGCGCGACTATACAACTGACGAGTGAAGTCATTGTTGTTTTAATTACTTTTTGTAATCCTTCTTCGAGACGTCAACCGTGAAAATGTTCGTTGTTCCTTTTTTGTTTCAAGACGCACGCTAACAATCCGAAGGAATCAAAAGGTTATAAAATAAGAAGTCCTTGGAAAGGTTACTGACTGTAAACAACTTTGCAAGTAAGATGCAAAACGTGCAAACGCTCGAGCTGGACATGGAATCACGAACTTAAAATGTTCCGGTCTACCGATTTTATTATATTAATTTAAAGGAATTTCACTATTATTAAATTGTACCGTAATCTGTATTAGGGCGTTCCATAAGCGAAGAAATTGGATTAGAAAAATGGTGACCTCAAATCGAGACATTTAACTTGATTTCACTTTTGAGTATGCGTTAATGTTTTGGGCCATTATGTTCTGCGATCTACAAATGGACGGTGAGATATGATCGGGTACCTACCGTAATTAATTTTCTTGGATTAATAACGTAATTATTACCGGAATGGAATATTCATGATGTGAAATGTCATGTCTAGAAATCAAAATCGGTACATAGAAAGTAAACACTAACTTGACGTAAAATAGCGTAAGATTTCTAAATGTACACAACAATTTGTCGGCAATTAAAATGTCCAAACTAAAACATATGACAGCTTAAACGTGTTCAGGGTTACATTTCGCAAATTGTTATCATTGTTAACCTCCTTATGTGCAACTAGTGCAACATTTTTTTCAAGTCGACATATTTTCTAATCGCGATTTTAAAATTGAAAGTTAAATAAAATTGTCAAACTGACCACGTAGGAATTAAGAAACCGTGGCGCCAAAAGGACCTCTTTGGTATAAAATAGAGCAACTGAGCGGTCGGGGGTAATCTTAGTGTCACTGGAAAAAATCTCCAAGATATGATGTGTTACGTTTACCTATCTTACCCCCGAAGTAGTTGTAGTTAAAATTTCAGGAACGCATCTGGGCAGTCAATTACGACAAATAAAAAGTTTCCAGGGTTGTAAACCAACAAGTTGAAAATAAAAGCAACCAATTTGTGTTTCCTGGTAAAAAAAATAATTGCAAATGACGGACGTAATATCTAATGGAGGTAAAGCTGGTTTCAGACCGATTTTGTTGAAATTTGGAATGTATATAGGTTTATATGTCCTATTTTGATTTCGGTCCGTTACCATCTTGGTTTTTGAGGGTTCTTCTGAACATTCTCTACCGCCCTATCTATATCGCTTTTTGTGGAAATTTTCTCAGTTCACAGCATACGAATAACAATGCTGGCCATAATATACTAATAGACGCCTATCATGCGTCATTATTGTTATTCCTGATATGTTTTTTTACATGAAATTACCTCATTCAAATTTGGGATTATGTTTACCTTATTTGGTACGATGTAGTGCGGTTAATTAATTGCTGGCTCGCAAGAATATTAAAAAAAACAATAAGTAAAGTTGAGGATCTTTATTTTATTTTAGTGAAGTCACAAAGCACCATCCGTGCAATATTAGAAAACAAAGCACTGTGCGTGCAATACCAAATTATCCAGTACGCTGTACGAGCTAATTAAACGTCATTTATTTGGATGTGAAGTACATAGCGATCAAAAATGAGTGACCGTCGAGTCACCTTTGGAATTTTTGTTTACATGGGAAATCTACTTAACTCGAACTTCCAAAGGTGACTCGAAGGTAACTCATTTTTGATCGCCCGATATAATAAGATTAATATCTCAAACCTGTAAAGTATGGAGCTACGCCAATGCTACTGTTATGATATACCAATACAGTTCCTTTGAATGAGAAATGTGTACCTATTGCTTACCTTTCGACATGGCATAAAATCGGTGGGGTTTCTTTTTTAAATTAGAGTGCTAAAATGTAGTTGTCAGCTACACGTGTACATTTATTTACAATTAGAAAACGAGCTCCTGGATATGGCTATAGCATGTGCAAAACCAAATTTTGAACCTGGGGTTACTTATTTAAAGTGTATATGTATGAAATTTCATTTAATTGCTTTCATGAATAAGAAAAATTGGCACTGTACATCATACATAAAACCAAATTTGGAAACTGGCGCTACATTTGCTTTTATTCCAAGTGCCTACCTACGTATCAAATTTTATTTAAATCCCTCCATAAATAAGAAAGTTAGTACTGCGCATGAGCAAAACCAAATTTGGAAACTGACGTTACATTTGCTTTTATTCCAAGTGACTATGTATCAAATTTAATTTAAATCCCTCCATAAATAAGAAAGTTGGCACTGCGCACGCGCAAACCCAAATTTTAAAACTGGCGTTACATTTGCTTTTATTCCAAGTGGCTATGTATCAACTTTCACTAAACTCCCTCCATAAATAAGAAAGTTAGCACTGCGCATGCGCAAAACCAAAATTTGAAACTGGCGTTACATTTGCTTTTATTCCAAGTGGCTATGTATCAACTTTCATTAAAATCCCTCCATAAATAAGAAAGTTAGCACTGCGCATGCTCAAAACCAAATTTTGAAACTGGTGTTACATTTGCTTTTAAATGGTCACGATGCGAAAAGGGCACTGTCAATGTTGATCGATTAGGCTCAAGTTCTGGAATTGCTTTTTATATAACTAAAGCTACACGCATATTGAATTTCATGCAATTCGGTTCATAACTCACGGAGATGTCAAAAGGGCCTTCCTTATTTTTTGGGATACATTACCAATTCATGAACCCCGATCTACAAATTTCATAAAGAATCCACCTACAAAATTTCATCTTAATCGGTCCATTCGTTATCGAGATATCGTGCTAACGGACGGACGGACACACCGCAAAATTTTAATCTCGCTAGGAGCTCGTTAATAAATATGATATCCAAATTGGTGATGATAATACTCATTTTTTTTCATAAACAAAATTTTTCAAAATGGCAATTTCGAGGGCAATTTGGTAGACCACCCCCTCGACCGCACTGCATATCACAAGGTCTGTTTTAACTATGGAAAAATGTTACAGAGAGTACCTCTTGCTCAGTAGCCCACACTGATGAATAAAATTAGCGAATGCATTTTGGAATGTCTTTCAATTTAATGAATAACTGATATTCACGTTCGCAGCAATTGCGGTTTACTGTATTCGCCATAAAAATAACGTTATGGCTCGCACCGTTATTGAATTCTAAAAAACTTCAAATTAGTAAGAATCTAAAAAAACACTGGTTCGTTAACTTTTATTAACGAAACGTATTTTTACGGCGCGACTTCCCTCAATAAAAGTAATAAAGCTAAATTGTCCCCGAAACGACTCCCACTATGGAATGGATACACGCATGTTGCATAATTGTGGAAAACTATGCATGGAATGATGACGATATGTGGCAAATATCTGGCTTCATTTGTCCCTTTGATTTATAATGAAAATCACAACGAGAAAATGTCAAAAGTAAGCCAAGTGTTCATTATTTCACGCTTGCAGTGAAAGTGGCTACGTGTCGCAATTACCCTGAGTCATTTATCTTAATTAATTTGTTATAAACCAATTTGTACAACTTTATTAATATCGCTCAGACAAGGTCTTCTTAAAAACAATTATCGGACAGGATAATGCTACAATACTGTTGTAATTAGTTTAAATTATTACATTGGAAGTGTTGTAATCATTACAACATTTTAAAAAAATTAGCTCGTGTGTGAAATTAATTTGGCATGGTTCTATATTCATTTTAATTTTACAGAATTTTGCTACTGATTTGTTGTTTTGTTAAAGTGAAAAACTGCCACAAAGTGTTACTAATTAGATTACAATTTGTAGCGAGCGTTACGACAATGCTCCTTTTGAGTCAAATGAAAATTAAAGTTGGCAAATTGAAAATAAAGGAATAATAATAATTAATGGTGAATAATGCTCGATTACGCTAATATTACAT